TTTTTGGAGATAACAGCTTCTAGTATCAATGACAAATATTGATGTACTGAGTTTCAACACCTGATAAGCACACAATGCAATACTAACCGCTTACTCCTTTGTTCTTTATTTGTAGGTCAAGATGTTGTTAAGTATAAAAAGTATCTTATGGATGTACTCTACGTTAGTTATAACATATATGCTACCTAAAGGTAAGTCTGTTATACACAGAACCATTTATTGAAATCCATTTTAGTGGTCCAATTGGTAGGATATTTCACAGGACTCGGGAAACAACACAAACTCAGGAGATTCAGTTTCTGATCTTACCTCTGCTACTCTTTTTGCTGCACTGTGTAACTAACTTTGCTTCCATGTTCTCCTCGTTGCCTTACTGATTTATATAGAAAACTCTTGGTGGGTGGCCACGTTCTTGACAAGGTTTTTACATGCCTGTCTGATGTCTCCTGAGTGCCATTACAATAATTGAAGTAATAATAAAGAAAGTGTCATAGGATTACATTGTGTAAAGCAAAATAGATTGCCTTCTCCAAATATTCAAGAATACATTTTAGTCCTTTTCTAAAACCTGTGCTTCTGAAATGTTGGACCTGTTGGCCACGTATGTCTTGCACCTTCATTTTCCATGATCCACTAAGGAGCTGCTTGCAGTAGATAAGGTGAGGGCTGACAGGGGGGCTAATTTTAGTGGAGGGCAGACACCTTGCATGGGAGCTTCAGCCTGGTGCCTCGGAGGGAGCAGCGGGCAGTGCTGGTGGCGTGGGAGCAGGAGCGGGTCCCTGGGACAAACCTCGGAGGCTGCAGAAGTGGTGAATGAAATGGGGGAATTTTGGGGCTACAGGAATACTGGTTTGGCATACCTCCCAGTCAGATCCCGATGCATGTGCTCATGTATGCCATGCCACAGCAGCCTTTTGGGTCTAGAGGTCACAGCTCGCACCCTCTCTGTATTCAGGGTGAAAGATGCCACGTGCAAGTGGGCTACAGGGGAAACCAGTAGCCCTAGTCTCTGCTTTGCTCTGTGATCTGTCAAGGAGCAGTGGGGGACATGCTTCTGGAGTGGGCAGTCTGTCTGTCAGCCCCCTGTTGTGGGGGGGCTGCCATAAACTAACCTGTGGCAGGTCCCTTGGCTGCTGGGGTCTGGAGCAAAGACATGTTATGGCAGCTGCAGGTCTTCGGTTTGGGTGGAAAGGAGGAGCCCTTACTACGTCTCTTGGTGATTACATGCTAACACTAATGTATGTATTCATGTGTGGTTGTCATGGTTATTTGAAAGTTTGAGTCAAGCCTTTAGTAAAGAAAAGACACCTACAGCTGATGCAGACTCACAAAATTGGGATAATAGCTTTCCCAAGCTGCAAAGCAAGATTTTTCTTGATTTTTTTCCTTTCCAGGAACTCCTCAAATGAATTTTAGCCTTTGGGAAAATCAAATGTACTAATTTTTTTTCCCCAGCTTGAACACTGTTGCCAGCAAAGTCTTTAGGTAGTGCTATAAGATAGAGGAAAACCGTTGTGCTTAGTGGAGCCAACTACAAAAAAGTGTTTTTTTTTTTTCCCTCAAGCAGGTTGGGAGCACCATCCTTTACTATTTCCTACCATTACTTCCTCCTTAAAGCTGGTTTTGTTTTTCCATTCTTCATTAAACATACAACAGGCCAGGATGATTAGACTTGTCCTCAGGGTCAAGAGACTCAAAGCTTCAGACAGGGGGCAAACCGCTAAAACTGAGCTTCCATTTTCTTATTTGTGGAGGGCTGAGACTGATTTGGTTATTAAGTGTCAAGTGTTTTTTTCTCACCCTAGTTTTTTTATTTCATAAAATGTCTGTAAGTGTAGACTGATGTAATGGATCTTGGATCCACAGCTGACATTTAATAATTTGTTCATACAAAGCATTCAGAGAGTCAGCTATCGTCAGAAGAGGTCATGGACTTGCAATAATGTAAGTCTACACGGTCAACTTGGAAGTTTTTATTTGATAAGCTACTTATACTTAAAGGGGGCTTATAAGAAAGATGGAGAGAGAATTTTTACCAGAGCAGGACAAGGGGCAACAGTTTTAAACTGAAAGAGAGTAGGTTTAGATTGGACATAAGGAAGAAATTTTCTACGGTAAGGGTGGTGAGACACTGGAACAGGTCGCCCAGAGTAGTTGTGGATGTCCCCTCCTTGGAAGTATTCGAAGTCAAGTTGGACAAGGCTTTCAGCAGCCTGATATGGTGGAAGTTGTCCCTGCCCATGGCAGGGGGGTTGAACTAGATGATCTTTAAGGTCCCTTCCAACCCAAACCACTCTGTGATTATAAGTTATAGCTTTCTTTAAGGCAGAAATGTCTGGTTTAAGATACAGGAAAAGGAATAGCTGCTAGCAATAATTAGTCAGCTTCAAAAGGGAGTAAATGGTAGTACATCACTCACATGAGGAGAGGTCTAAAGATAAGATTTTACCTGAAAATCAATCTTGGGATGGAGAACATGTAAGGAGATAGAATAAATAAGGCAAAGGAATCTGACAAGAAATTTAAACCTGATGTTTCTGTTATGACCTATTGCAAGTCTCTTCATGTTTACTTAGGGCATAGTTCCATGGTCAGTCTAATCGCACATACATTTTAGCACTAGATGGGATAGTCCTGCCCCTTTTCCATCCCCTGGTGCTAGTTTTCGTGCTTTCCTTTGTGCTGACACTAGCATTTATGTGGGTATATGGCGTTTCTTGCAGGTTATTTTTCCACTGGATCAGACCTGTGATATGACTCACTGCCTTGTGCAAATGCTAGTGCTGGCAGAATTCAGGGATTGGGAGTGCATCACTGAAAGTGGGGAGGAGTGGGATGGATGCTTAGAGTGGTAGAACATGGGATGGCACCTTTAGATGTCCCCTGACTTGCTCCACCTTTTATCACCTCTTAAATGGCTCATGTTGTCTCCAGAGCAGAATTTTTAGTACTCGAGCAAGTTCTGTATGAACAACCCGGTAAGGGCTTCTCAGGTATATAGAGCAGGTTCTGACTGGTCCTTATTTGCCTGAATCTTTCAGAAGGAATTCAGAAAGACCCTTATGTTCCTAGAATGCACTGTGAACTTTCTGGATTTGTTTTCTGAAGTTGGGGGCCATACTTTTGCCTTAGAGAGTCTTAAACATGTTCAGAGTCTGGCCATGGTGAAGAAGACAAAGGTGAAATTTTTTTTTTTTCATGAATTGATCCAATAGAGTCTGTGGGATCAGCTCATATTCTTCTGTTTTGTAGAAATATCAGCCAGTTTGTGTACTAACATTTTTGAGCATGAGCGTTACAAGATTACAGACAATCTTTACAGGTACAGCTGTTTATTTTGTTTAAAAAAATATTCTAAAAATAAAATATATCTCTGCATTTTGAAGAGTTAGACATTTTAAGTTTCAACTTTTTTCTTTTTAAATCCTGAATTCGAATATAAAATTGAAACCTTGAAATCTTTCGTGAAACAAATTGTTATGCTTCCTATTCCCACAATGGATTGGATCACTCCATATGATTTAACTAAATAGTCACTTCAATATGATGCATTGCAATATTTCCTTTAAAAAGCTCTCAGGCAAAATTGTTCTGAAAGTTTAAAATTTTTATTTTGAGAGTCATGTGGGAAATTTGTTAAAATTAGCAGTTATTTTTAAAGAGTAAATCCTGGAATCTGTAAGTCTTAATATTAAGTCATAACAAAACTGAGGCTTAATTTAGAAGACAGCAAGTTATAAGCACGCAAAGTTTTATGCGTTCACCACTAATCATTATTCCCATCTTTTTCTCTCCCATTATCATCTTTGTGAATAGTCACATTCATAAATACCTAGCATGTTTGCATGGCGTGTTCGTTAGATTTTATGTGGCAACAAAAGTATTTTTCCTTTGAGGGCAAATTGAGAATGGTCTTGCATGGCTTCTTTAAGACTTTAAATTCTCAGAAGATGTGTGTCAGGAAGGCAGCAGGAAATACGGTGTAAGCTTCTGGGGTCACGGGAGCGCCCCTCTGCAAGACCTTTGCTGTTTGCTCTGGTACATCTGAAGGATTAATGACAGAAGTTCATGAGCAAGGTTTACGCCTACTGCTAGTGTGGTATTTACTCACTTTGAGCTAGCTGGTGTTAGGATATTGTAGTTTACAAGCTGAACGTTGTGATTATGATCAATGTTGGAGTTTATCTTACCTGTTTTAAGTGACTATTTGTCATGCCATGAGTGAGTATGCTTTTGTGAAAGCCCTGTAATCCAGAAGACAGTAGAGATCCCCTAGATTGTAGTGTGCGATATGTTCTTTCAAAGGTATATAAATAATATACCAGTTTAAACATCAGTTTATCTGATCATGTTCTGTATGTGCTATAAAATACATGTGTGCATATCTAAGATGTCTGTGTATGTTATGTTGAGTTCTGCAGCTGAGATTTACATTTGCCTGGCTTCCTGTGAGTTTCTTGCTCAACCAACTACTATGAAAGTAGTTGGTTCTTCATCACTCTGCACCTCATTCTCCTATTCTGCTTGCTCAGACCACAAATCACCTGGTAAAGAACGCAGTGAGGGTTTTTGTTGGGTCTCAGTCTGTTACCTCTGCTCTCAGTTTCATACAAATTTCTGTAAGCGATGCATTCATTTTAATTTATCATTATCTTCATTGAAAGATTTTTGGTTAATGTAAAGACTTCTCTTAGGCTCAGTGTTAGTAGTCAGATTAACAGAACACATAATTTCATTGATCTTTCTGTTGCTGCTGGTAGGCAGGGCAGTATACCATATGTCTAGGCAGGTTGTTGATGAACTAAAAAATGGGATTGAATTTTTTTTGTCTCATAAACTTGGCTTAAAATAAATAGAATCTTTTATTGTTTAAGCATGAGGTTTTTTTCTGCATACTCAGCAGCAACATTCTGTTCAGTTAAGCTTAATTACGTAACAAAATTGTTCCTCTAAGCAGTGTCACTTCATGTAGGGCATTCTTTTCTTCAGACTTCTTGTCCCTAACAGACCTACCGCTCTGGTAATTATGGTTAATGTAATACAAAAGGGCAGAATTCTGTCCTTTTTTCTTTTTTTTTTCCCTCTTTAAATGTCTGTTTTAAGAGTTTTGTAACATTTACAACAGAAAAAAAGTACAAATC